TAGGTGTCCACTCCAAGCTGCACACTCAGTGCAGCTCCTTGCAGGCTCAGCACAGAAGTAGATGACTCCATGGCTCAGTCAGGCAAACTTAAACTATGTGTCTGAGCTATGTGGGAGGAATAACCACCAGAAGGCTGAGTGAACAGCTTCAATATCTGACTTGTAGGTGGCTAATGTCAGCAGGTATAGAGTCGCTCTAGATCTTTATCTCCAGCAAGATGACTGTGGCAGCAACAAGCACAGCAGAAAGATTCCAGAGGTGAGAAGGGTGTCTCACTGGTGAGCAAAGGCAACTGTGGTCTCTAAGACATCTGCAGGAAGTAAGTATTTGTAAGTTTTATTTTTTAAACAGTTGGGTCCTTTTTCATTCTAAGTTGCACTCCAGGTGAAGAACTGTTGTTTTGGAAATGGTAGACCATAGGAATCCAACACCTAAAATTAGCTAAAAAGCACACTTCTATTTGGGGTTTAGTGTGACAGGTTTCAAAATCTATGCCTGTAAAATATAATTCCTCCAGAGGTATCTATTCCTCTCTATTGATTATAATAGAAACTTAGATGACACTCGTTTAGATGACAACCTCAGACATAGTTCCTTAACTTCTGGATGTCTCAGATTAGGTGAGTTCCAGCTCAGTCTATTGCCATTTTGAAGATCTCCACAGTAATTAATGAAAGTGACAGGCATGCCCAGGTTATTTAGCCATCCTAGCACATAGATAAAGGGAAGAATGCACAAATATCTAGAAATATCTCTCTCTCTGCTTTCTGTAGGAATCCTAGAAGAAGTTTAGAATAGATTACAAACTTCTAGACTGTTAAAGCTAAATCAAATGAATCTCACTTTTTACTTTTTCTCACCTCTATAACAGCACTGTTCTACCCCTTCTAGGAATTAATTAATAGCAAAAGAAATTCTGAGGTAACACAGAGGGTAAGATGGTGAAAAGGGTGCAACAGTAACATGTTTTTTAACCCTGTGTACTTTCTGTGTATGATAGAAGGTGCTGCAATTTAGGTTTGCATGATGAAGTGTGGAGGAGAGTTTATTCCATGTGGGTGGATGGACAAGACCATATCTTAGATGTGTTAGCTGTGTTGTGCAGAATGAATCTTCAACATTTGGCTGTTGCCCAGATATGAGAACATGGACAGAAAGAGATAAACCAAGCTGAAGATGATGCCTAGGTAGGAGCATGACTGACAGGTAGGATGACAATGTTGTCCATAGTGACTGAGAATGGAGGCGGAGGAGAGAGAAGACAGGGCTTGAGAGGAAAAGTTCAAGAGCTCTGTTTTGTACATATTAAGCATGATCTGACAGGTAAACATCCACTAGGATATGCTGAGAAGACAGGGCAAGATTTTGATTTGGACAAGAGTCAGTCCTGCAGCAGAGAAGTTATATCTTCAAGCTGTCACTATAGAAATAGTAGCTGAATTTGGATAAGGCTGCTAGGGACAAAGCTTGGATGAGAAATGGAAGAGAATCAGGTGAAGAGACCTGTTTATGACCCTGTATGGATGAGGAAGAGAGACAGGAAGAGAGAGAGTAACCAAATCTAAAAGTACAAGGCATATAATTGTTATAACTGTATTAAAAATACACACAAAACGATGTGAAAATTATGATCTCTCATAAAAGAGGACACAGTAGTCAAGTAAAACACTAGTGTAAAGCTGATGAGTTGATAGGCAATATAATTTTAGAAGACTCTCAAAAGCTCTCTTGGCAGGTAGGTACAGAAGGAACACGGCCTGCTCAAAAGGAAGGGATATGGGGAAAGTTATTTCTAAAAGCAATTGAATGTGTGAAAATTGGAAAGCTGTAGACCTGTTTGGTGGACCCTTAGGAGAAACAAGTGCTTTGCATGGAAAAGTGGACTTGTGACGGATGGTGGTCAGGCACCTGTCCAAGGAAAGGTTAATAAAAATGAAAAAAAAAAAAAAAGAAAAAGAAAAAAAAACTTTCATAAAAGAAAGTTGTCTTTTGAAACTGTTAAGCAACATATGTTGTGTGAACAGGAAGTCACAGTAGAGCAATAATCCTGACAGCTGTGGAGAAACAGGAGTCTGCCGCAGGAATGAACGGCTCGAGACCTGACAAGAATGATGATGGATGCCCCGTTGGTAGTACATGAGGACAAGGCATGAGACGTTTAAATTGGCTGAACCACAGGAACAACTTCGAGTTGGCATCACTGCCGGACAAATGAGGCCCGACCTAATGGTGCACCCCTCCTTTCCAAGGACGAGGGCTACATCACCATCTCACCACGAGGTGGCTGCATTTCCCTGTGAACATCCAAGCCCTAAAAAATGCGCACCCTGAAGCAACATGGAAATTAGAATGGGAACAGAGATCATTTGCAGGATTTGGCCCATCTCATGCAAACCACCTCAGAAATCTGAAGACCCTGTGGGGAAGACAGTGTGTACTCCACGTTTGGATCCAGTGGTGGTCACTCTACAGGTCCTCATTACTCTCCTGAGCCATGGTAACTGCCTGTGTGCCTGCTCATAGTTCACGAGGGATACAAAGCAATGCCACATAAATTAGCTTATAATGAAGAGGCTGAAACTCATAATTATCCACCTTTTTTTCCTGTGAGCTAAGAATAAGTATGTGGACTACTGCTAAGAATCAGCCAGTTCATGGAAATTTGTCAAGCTGCGCACACTTGATTGTAAGCCTGGCACGTACATCTTTTAAGTGTTAAATTGTGAGGCTTTTTCAGGTGCTCAGATCTGGTTATGCAAGAACATTTCTATAATATGTGTTTGGGTCAAATGAATCAACAGGAATGATGGTCTCACAAAAAACCTGCCCCAAGAAATGGTCACATTCTTCATTATTTTGCACAATCTAAGTTCAGCTGACATCAGTAGGATGGAACAGAAATATGCTCCCAAGTGGTTAAGAGGTGAGTATTTTTTTTTTATCTAAAGTGTGCTAAAAGTAGGATGGATAAGAACTGGGGAAGGATAAGGTACACTAGATCGAGATAGCATCTTCAATTTTTCTTGGGTTTTGTCTGTCTTGGGTTTTCTCCTGTCTTCCTCTCACCTCTATCACATGATTTGACAAGATTTTTGGGACAGTGGCTGACTTCCTACGCCTTGCTGAGGTATCACATCCTATGGAGCTGCAATTTCTGATGTCATTGTGTAGACACTGGGTCAAAGTGTGAGAGAAAATCATTAAAAGTACCTCTTTGACCTATCTTAGGAAAGCTGTGAATAATATTTTACTGTGGGATGTCAGCATATGCCCAACAGCTGGTTTTGTTTGAAGGAATCTTTTAGGAAGATACACCTAAAGTACGCTACAGAGTCCAGTGGAGGGCTACAAGGGTGAATAAGGGTCTGGAACATTTCTCTTAGGAGGAAATCCTGAGAAACCTGGGGCTGTTTAGCCTGGAGAAAAGAAGGCTGAGAGGCGATCTTGCAAATGTTTACAAATATCTGAAGGGCGGGTGTCAACAGCATGGGGCCAGTCTCTTTCCAGTGGTACCCAGTGATAGGACAAGGTGCAACAAACACAACCTGGAACATAGGAAGTTCCACTTCAAAAGCAGCAAAAAATTCTTTACTGAGAGGCTGCCAGAGCACTGGAAATGGTTGCCCGGAGAAGTTGTGGAGTCTCCTTCTTTGGAGACTTTCAAAACTCACCTGGATGTGCTCCTGTGTGACCTGCCCTAGGTGAACCTGCTTTGGCAGGGGGGTTGGACTGGAGGAACTCCATAGGTCCCTTCCAACTCCTACCAACCTGTGATTCTGGGTAAACTATTGTAACACTTCAAATAATTGACAACCCCAATCTTTAAGGAGATTGAGATTTTTTTTTTTTCAGTAGTATCACTGGTAAACTTGTAAAAAAAAACTTGTAAACTATTTCAAAAATAAATTGCCTAAGGTGGTGTTCCAAAAAATCCGATCTTGATGATTTCCTACTTTTAGAAATCTTTTCCTGTATAGAGAATTTTCATTCTTGCAAAGATCTAGAGACAATCTGCCAGGCCCACTTTAAACTTATTTGGATAAATTCATGAATTTACATTAGAGTCTCTTACTGAAAGGGAGATTTTATGCTTTTCAATATTTTTTATTGAGATTTCCTGTATCCCTTCCAAGCTGTTGGCATGCTTCTTAGCCTTTCATGATTTACACTGTGAATAATTAGTAATAAAAATAATGTACTATTATAATAAACCAAAACATGTTGGACTGGGTTGTCTTCCCTTGCTGCCAGTGGAATGCCTTACGTTTCTCTGGGTGCGATGGCATGCAAATATCATTTTGCATAGAAAATACATCTCCATTTCTACTTTCCCAAACTGTCATGCTCAAATCCCCATATTACTAGATATTTCTCCAAAAAAAGATCCCTCAAAGGTTTCCTGACTGTGGAAACACTCTGACTGTCTTTCAAAAGCCAGATGCAAGGGACCACATTTATGTCTAGGTAGGTACCTCTGTAGTAGCAGTGAGAGGCACCCAACCACTGTGTAGTTTATCTCTCTAGCTCCTAGTGCCAGAACATGCTACTCTCTGCTGAATGCTGGCAAAAAGTTCTTTATTCTTTGCCTAGAGGCAGGGACTCTTTGGGGAGGGAAAACAAAACAAACAAAAAAACCCCTTAGATACAGGTTTCTGCTTGATTTGTTCCTCTGAAACTTGAAATGTTGCACTTCTGATGAGTTTGACCCAATGTTTTTAGCGTCTATGAATCATATGTCTTTTTTTCAAGTCATCCAAGCTGCTGGTGACAAGACCACAGCACCTCTTGGGGTTCTGCACTTGTGTGAAATGATAGAGTCATCCTGGTCTTTCCACGGGTACGTTACGCACACCCAAGGCCCTGCATGCCTGAGCTGTTATCCATCCTTCCTGGAAGATGAGTTGCAGAGCACAGATAAATCACCCTTCCTCCTCCATTGGGCCACAGGGCAGCAGAGTCTGGATCGATCACCACTAGCCTGTGTTACAGAGCTACTCACCGGCATTGTCTGGCTCCCATGCAAGGCATTGATGGCTGCTTGGGCCTCCGCATGTGAAGAGTATTTCACAAATGCACACCCTGGAAGAAGAAAAAGACCATCAGAAAGGTTGCATGGGTACCATGAAAGTCCATCTAGCTGCATATCCTGTCCTCAAAACAGGCCAATAAAAATGGATATGAAAAAAAGCATAATAAACAAAAATGCTCCTGGTTATTCTTTTCGAAAGTCCAGCCATCAGCAGCCTGAAGATCTCTTCAGGCAAAGCTGCACCCAGGATTCCCACACTGCTTATAGCGGGCACTGATGGACATAGACTTATTAAATTTTTAATCTGCTTATGTTTTGACCAGCTTCTGAGGGCAGAGTGTTGTATAATTTTGCAACTGATTGGGTTATTTCTATTTGACTTCATGCTGAATGCTCCTCCCACTGAGGTTATGAGAAGCAGTGAGGAAGCGTGTACAAGTTATAGAATCATGGAATGTACTGGGTTGGAAGGGACATCTAAAGGACATCTAGTCCAACCCCCCTACAATAATCAGGGACATCTCTAACTAGGTCTGTTGCCAGAAAGCACTGCATATTTGTGATGCAACCACAGACGAAACATACAGAAAACATTCAGGTTACTTCAGAACCACAAGGTCCATTGTCACATTGCTGTCATGTAGAGCTCCATGACAGACTGCTCAGAGCTTTCCAAGTAGCGTTTGTATGAGAAAGCATGACAAACAGCTTCTGATGAAGAAGCAGGGATGGAAGAGATCTGCATACAGTGACTGATATCTTTCCATCACCAAAATTTGATCTTTAGTCTTTCATAGCTGCATAGCCAGTGCCTGTACCGGTGTTCTCCTCTGGACACTAGAGAAGTGTAGGCAGTGCTTCTCAGGCCTGCGTTGCCATGTGAGGAATCTCACACTGAACTCTTACATAAGGTTTCAGGGTAGAAAGGTGCATTTATGAGTATGTGCTAGAGCGCAGAAATGATCAGCACTTCAAAGGGTCACACGTACCACTAGAGTGGGGGAAAGTATTGCTAACACTCTTAGCTACAAGCTAACTGACTCAGAGAGAGGAAGAGTAATTTCCATATGCTAGGGTGGTTTTTGGAACAGTCTGGGAGAGATCTGAGAAGTTCTGGCTTCCATCCCCTTCCATTACTACCAAAGACTTTTGAGCTTTTAATCAATTTGCAAAGCTCTAGCTGTTTCTCTGAAAGGGAGCAGATTGCTCTGCAGAGGATGCCAGTCCTGACAATGGGACAGCTCTCTTTTATTCCCTTTGCAGAATCTTTGAGAGGTCCACACACCCTTGTGGATCCATACAGTGCAGGGTGAAAACTGAAGCATTAGAATACTCCATTTGCAAACTAGAAGATGGACCCCCAAAGGTCCCCAAAATCATCACGGCAGGTTGATGGAAGTGAGATTGAAGAAAGTAGTGATAGCCCCTTCTAAAGATAATACACATGTATGAAATTAGCTTACAGTTAGGAGACCTTCACTTTGCATTACCCTCTCAGCACTGTACTCAGGCTGTATTTCCGGAAAAGCACAATGATTGTTGCTAATAGTTGGATCTAATTTATAAGGAGCTGAAAGGAGACAATCATGAGAAAATGAGATAGATAAACTTCATCTGGAAACAATAGGGATCATTTATGACATAATCGCAGCCCAGAATTCCTTGGCTCCTGAGATACTGTGCCTTCCTCTTCATTAATCAGAGATAATCCAGAATTAGGGAGTTTAATTATTTGCAGAGATCCTTTTATACTTTCTGCCTCTAAAAAGAAGATGCTGATTAGCAAATATACAAAAACTTTCCAGCTTCAGTCATCCATTGCATTTAGAGCAGGATTTTTGGCTGCGGTGTTGCTGTCATGCTGAAGGCTTCACTCCCATCAGGTGAAATTCACCCCTGTACTGAGAAATCTGATGGATCAGTGGCGCTGGATAAAGGTGGGAATGAAAGGAGTAGCAGGCATTTATCTTGTTTAATACCCAAGATGGCAATGGGATCCCTCCTACTGCTTCCTCTTACTATTTCCAGTAGACTTTTGAGGTAGCGGGACAAATAAAAACTCAGACTCCCCTGGTGTATGGTGGCAAGACAATAGAAGAGACCTCAACATTTTAGCCCTTTTGTTTGTGTGTTCAATGAGATGGCTTCTGTACACAGCATCAAATGTGCACGTAACCTACTTCCTTCCCTTTGTCACCAGAACTGAGTCCATGATCTGAGCAGAGGGCATGAGCCATGTCACTCTCCTCAGAGCAATGATGTTCCTTCAACAGGAGCAGAGCTGGAGTTTAAATGGACTTTGACACAGAAGGACATATATATTTTATGTTGAAGTAGAAGATGCATGTACTGTTTTTACTTCCTTACTTTCAGATTATAGAGCTAGAAGGGCTGCTCTTACTGTTTTGTCATCTTGGAGGAGACTGCAGAGCCAGAGCCTAAGGTTATAATTGCAGAGGGTGTTAAGACTCCTTTTGTTGAACTTCTGGTGTCATGGGAAATCTTTACTTTCTAAGTTAGTGAAGCAGACAATGCTGAATGGAGGAAAAAGGGGGAATAATAAATAA